TAGAAGTCTGAGATCAAGATGTTGGCAGGATTGATTTCTTCTGATGCCTCCTTTCTTTGACTTGTAGGTGACCATCTGAATCCACATGGGTCTGTCTGTGTCCTAATTTCCTCTTCTTGTAAGGAAACTATCATGTGGGACTAGAGCCCACCCTAATACTCATTTAACCTTGGTTAACTCCCTAAAAGACTCATCTGCAGATATAGCTACATGCTGAATTTAGGGGGCAACAATTTAGCCCATAATAGTATCTATGCTTTTGCCTGTAGTTACGGTAGTTGAACACACTTGTGGTTAACACAGGGTTGATTGATAAAATTTTTCATGAACTATACTACTTTTGATAAATTTAGATTGATAAATATATTTTAATTATGATGTTCCTTCTCTTAATTTTTAAAGCCATCTTGTGTGAATTTTCAAGAAACAGTCATTAAATTGTTGCCTTTAAAACAGAATAATTCTAGGGTGGTGCCTGTGGCTCAAAGGAGTAGGGCGCTGGCCCCAGATGCTGGAGCGGATGGGTTCAAACCCAGCCCCGGCCAAAAACGCACAACCCCCCCCCCCAAACCAAAAAACAAACAAACAAAATAATTCTAGAAACTTGGGAAGGTTTATATTAAACAAATAAAACAATATCATCTGTGGGCTCATGAGTTGCATTCTAAGACCTTAATTTCATATTTTTAGAACATGTATTAGGGTGGAAACTAAGTTACAGTTACAAAGAGGCCCTCAGATATAATTGCTGAAATAAATCGAAATGTATTTTTCTTAGTTCAGATCAGAGTTGCTTCATGTGACTGGGTCACAGATTCTTTCCATCTCTTTGTCCTTCCCTGGCTCAGTGTGTTATCCTCTGAGCAGAGTCCAGACTGGTTATAGGAGTGTCTTTATCCAGCTTGTGAGGTCAGGTACTCAGAGGGGCGCACCAACAAGGAAGTGGAATTCATCACATCTTCATTGTTCCACTGGTGAGAATTCAGTCCCATGGCCCCCTCCCTCTAGCTGCCTGAGAGGCCTGGAAAAGAAGTTCTCTGCTGAGCAGCTGTGTGTCCTGCTATGAGGAAAGACGGGGAGGACTGACTGTAGTGGGCAGGCAGTAACCTTTAGT